CGGGGGGGGGGGGGGGGGGGGGGGGGCAAAAAGCCACGAACGGAAGGTCAGCACGGCCAGAGCAGAGGGCGGGACGCACGTGCAGGCCGGCGCCTGGGGGGAGGTCACCTGGCTGACAGACGGCAGGCGTCAGGTCTGGCTGTGCTGCTCGGGTCGTGAGGCCCCTAACGGGCCACAGCACCACCCCTGAGCGGCTGCCAACCACCCACACTCTTCACACACCTGCGCTTTGCCTCACAGCCTCAGGCAGACATCCACCTGTTTTGCCCCCAAAACCACGGATCCGGTTATTTGGCTCCTCTGGACGTGAGGGGTCGGCCCCGTGCGCCCACACCCCTGCTCCCGAGGGCCACCACCCTGGGCCGCTGGCAAGGAAACCACAGGGTGACACTGCCCAGGAGCAACCTTGCTCTGCCCCACGGCAAACAGGCGTCCTGGGCCTGACGTGCCGCCACCGTCCGCGGCTCCACAGTCAGGAAGGAGGGAAGGGTGCTCCGCCACGCGGGGGCTGGGGACCAGGGAGGAGGCAGCAGTCTCTGTTGCCCGGTGCCCCTGCCCCAAGCGGGAATCGAGTCCCTGGACGTGGGAGCCGGCCCTCCCCGGATTCGTGTGTCCCCAGCAGGGCTGCCCCTCGTGCGGAGCCGGCCTGACTGTGCCCCCAGAAGGGGCGGTGGCGCCTGCCTGACTCGGGGACGGCAGGAGCCCAGCACAGCGCCGGCCTGGGAGAGGGGCCCTGGGCACGAGGGGGAAGATGGCATGATTTTCGGTGACAGATGTGCAGCGTCACCAGGCAGGGCGCATACCAGAGCTGGCTCCCCTGCTCAGGGGGCCCCGGACCCCAGACGAGAGGTCACGCCCGAGGGCCAGCATCCTCGGCTCCTGCCACCCCACCGCCGGCCGCACTCACCACACTCGGGCTGCAGGTGCTCGGGGACGCAAGCCTCATAGCCCTCCTTCTCTGGGACCTCTATGAAGTCGTCGTCCTCGTCCTCATCCTCGTCCCCGACCGCTGGGCCCGTCTGTGGAAACACACCTGTGTGTGAGAACAGCCCAGAGGCCCGGACGCTCCCGATCCTGCCGGGGGAGACCTCGCTCCGGGCTGGGTTTCGCCGACGGGCTCGAGGCAGCACCAAACACCAAAGATGGTCTCCAGGCCCTGCTCCTCAGCTCAGGCCAGCCCCGTGGCTCCTCCACCGGCCAGCCACCTGGGGTCCACGTCCAGACACATGTAAACCTGCCCCACTACCTCGTTCCCTTTGAAACTCATGCAAGACACCCGGCTTCAAGGTCTCATGGAGCAGACGTGCTCCCAGGGCCCCGTGAGACACGTCTCCCCCAGCGAGAGGCAAGATGCCCCCGGTTCCGGGCCGAGCTGAGGGTGGCATCCAGCTCAAGCCAGGCCCCCCGGGGACAGTGGTGTGCCTGTGCTGCTGGAATAACCTGCCCTTAAGAGTCACTCGTGACAGAGCCACTGAAGAGCCCGTTCCCTTTGGGCAGGGCCACCTGCTCCTTAGCCCGCCCGGAGGGCCTGCTTCACTCCTGGGGCACCGGGACCCTCTGCAGCACCCAGTCCGTGGCACAGCAGGGGCGGGGGCTGCCGCACACCCAGGAATCGGGCTTCTGAGGCTGGTCCTGTGCAGCCCCCTCCTCGCCCCCCTTCTCAGTGACCCCTGTGGCCCTAAGGCAGGACGCGAGGGAGAGGATCCCAGCAGGAGCCCGGCCTACTCCGCACCACGGCCGCAGCCGATTTCAGACCAAGTGGAGGAGACTTCCAGAATGGAGGCCCCCGTCGCGCGAATGCAGACTACCAGGCCTCTGAAGGTACAAAGCAGCAGCCTTGGAAGAACGGCCCTGTGACACACGCCTGCACCACCAAAACCTCTCTCAATAGCACGCCTCAGAGGCACAGCGCAGGCCTGAGCAGGGGGACGGAGAGCCTGAGTGACCCAGGGGACAGGAGGCCGCGGGCTGGCCCCACACCAGGCCCGGCCAAGTCACAGACGCCGGCAGCGCCCGCCCGCCCGCACAGCTGGGCCTGGTGGCGGGCCGTACCTGCGGGCCCGGGACGCCCATGCAGGAGCCACCGCCCGCCCGGAGAGGCATAATCAGATGCAAATGCACTTTGTTTAGGTACAACCCACGGCTGTGCATCTGGGAAGCACGGGAGACATTAATCACTGGAAACTGTAATTTTTGTTATCAGTCTAACACTGATCAAAAGGGAAGCCTGTCTCCACCACTGACCTGTGAAACGTCCCAATTATGCTCTTTGGAAATGACAGGGGCACTTAACTCCCGAGCTGGGCAAATGACGACGATCAATCACGTTTGAATAACAATGAGCCGCGGACCTGAAAATTATTTTTGTATAGAATCTACCCAGGAATTTATGAAAGGTGGAAAGCAGCCCAAGGTTTTAGGGCATTACGGTTCTCGGCTAGTGCAGCGCGTATCAAACACTAAACAGAATTTATGTGTTTTAATTTTCTAAAAGGTAGATGTGCACTGGGTGCTACAATGCATAACATATAGTGCTGGGTTTTAAATACGGGGTCATTTTCATAAAATATTATGCTTATTGTTCACACCCTTGAATTTCACCAGGGACTTTTATTAAATTTTCATTTCTTAAAAAATATTCGGCTGCTTAGCTAACTATTAGGAATTATGCCCTCTTTCTCCCCAACTAAAATTGTTTATTCCTGTGAAGAAACACGGAGCCCTGAGCTGCTCTTTGTTCTTAAATTAGCACTGATCAGGCCGCACCAGGCAGCACACACACCACCTCCAGAACGCCGCCCCCTGGGTCTGTGCAGCCAGGTCCCCCGGAAGAACGCGGCTGACTCGACCGCAGGGTGCTCACCTCCGGTCCGCTGGTGGCCCACTCAAACCACAGCGACGCAGTCAGACACGGACTTTACCGCCAATATCGAAGCCACGCTTGAAAGCTTCCACTTTCTTTTGGTTCGCGGTGTTCGCTCAGCTGTCTGAACCCCCCGGAGCTCAGAGTGACCCTGGATGTCGGGCCCTGAGCACATCAGCAAAGGGCAGTGACATCTGGTGTCCAGAGGTGGAGGGGGCGCCACGTCCAGAACAGTCACTGCGGCTGTGACACCTGTGTGACCTGCCCTGGCGCCTCACACAAACGCCTGTTCAGAGAGCAGGAGCACCGCCACCAGGCAGGCCAGAAAGCCCTCTCCGTGAGACGTTGGTGAAGCAGCATGGATTGGGGAAACTGAGGCCGGCAGGAAGGAGCCCATGGGAGCCAGTCCCGGGGCAGGGCTTCCCCTCAAAGTCAAAGGTCACAGGCTGGTAAGAAACCAGCATTGGATGAGGCAGGGGGAGGCACTGGGGGCAGGAGGCAGAGGAGGGGCGCCCACTGGGATCGTCCTGTAAGGAGGCATCCAGTTGAAAGTGGGTGGTCCTCAAAACTGAGTGGGCTCATAAGCTGTTCTGTGTTTGCCACAAGCTGAGTTTCCCTGTCGCAATAAACCCCACGAACACTCTCGAGAAACCAGCCCCTGCGTCCCCCCCACCTTCCCTAACGGAGAGCCCCTGGGCAGGTGGACAGAGCCCTGCGGCCCCTGGGACGCCCCCCCGCACCACGTCACCCTTTTGGGAGAGGCCAGACCCGAGGGACGAGGGATGGGGGACAGACACCTCCCGGGCACAGCCTGTCCGCAGCCACGGGGAGGCGCAGAGGAGGGCCTCAGGCCTTTCGCGGGTCTTATACAAATGGATTCGCACCCACCGTTAAAAGGATTTAGAAAAATGAGCCTCTGGGATCGTAATTAAACAAGCAATAAAACGGCTAAAATATACAACGCAATCAGCTTACAGCAGTGGGGGTATCGGGGTTACTGATTATTTGAGGAGGAACAGAACGAGCGACCTGGCTCCGGGAGCGGGTCTGCCCGCCAAACGCGCACCCGAGATGCAGCTGGGACCGTTAAATAAATTTTGTACGATCTAATTAACTTGGTGCGCAATCTCAATTACTTTTCACCCAAGAAATCACTTTTGTTCAGTTTTATGTGTGTCTGTTTCCCTTTTTAAAAAAAAAAATGATGTAAGGCCTCGTCAGACAAGTGAGCTCCAACCTGCATTTGTCTTTCGGCGGCTTGATGGCCATGCATTTAAAACCCCATTCTATCTTATAAACTAAAAATTAAACGTGCTCAGCTGTGATGGCCGTCATCGCATCTGCTATTTATATGCTAATGCCCTCCCTGGAAGGCCGTGCAAATTGCCCAGCCAGGCCAATATCTCATGCACATCTCCAGCTGCTGGGGACGCACGCTCACAGGGCAGAGGACAGCAGGGCGTGGGACTGGCCAGGGCAAGAGTGAGGACACAGGGACCCTCGGCGACACCACTCGGGCCGCAGAGCGCACGGTCCCCGCTCAGCGAGAGCAGAGCTGGTGAAGTGCGTCACCGGGTTCTAGGACGGCCACGGCCCCCCCCCCCCCCCCCCCCCCCCCCCCCCCCCCCACACCTGGTCTGATCCAGCCCTGCGTCCAGCCTGCTGGCAGTGCAAGAAACCGCGCCGTGGGTCCACAGGACACGGGCAGGCCCGCTGCCAGGGCGAGGCTGGGGCGCGAGGCCCTGCAGGGTCACCAGGAGACTCGGGTGCGTAACTCGGGTCTGTGCCATGGTCCACGTGGGCATCCTCCCCTCGGCCGCCATGCTGGGGCTCGCTGCTGGACTCAGCAGGCCGCGAGACGCGCTCCCCTGGGCTACCTGACAGCGCATCTGGCGGAGGGCGCAGCTTGCTGGTTAGACCGGGCAGTTCCCACCGCCCGAAGGAGCCGTGTCCACACGGGAAGAGGAAAACCTTCAGCGAGCGCCCTCCTCCCTCAGCCCAAACTTCGCAGGCACAACGGCAGGCAGCCGGCACCCTCAAAGGCTGAGGCTCACGCAACTCCCCCCAGACTCCGTCTTCTCATCTGTGAAATGGGGCGGTACCATCATCTACCTCAGAGCATGCTCGGGGACTCAAGGGCTGGTACCTGAAGGTGTTCCGGAGGAAGGGGTGTGCGGTGTAGACACACAGGAGAGGACAGGCACCGCGGGGCTGGGCCCCAGGGCCCCCAGGAGACGGCTGGCCCTGAGCAGGGGGCGCTTGAGCGGGAGCTCCAGTCCTCGTGAGAAAGGCAAGAGGCGTCCAGACCCCTCCCCCGGCCTCCAGCCCCTCGCTGCGGCGGCTCGGCCTTCAGCGTGATGGAGGGGACCGCGTCACCAGGAAGGCTGTTTACTGGCCCTGCTGAGCACAAGGTCCCCACCGCCGGCTGATTTAGTTTCCCTGCCTCCCTGGGGTGCCTGACTCGTTCAACATTTCATTCCCTGGGTTCCCTGCTCTGTCCTTTTCACCTACAGGAAGCCAGCACTCACATGCCTCCAGCAGCAGAGAAAACCTGTCCGACACCAGAGCAGCAGGAGCCCCAGGCCGAGGGGCCTCCTCCCTCAGACAGGTCTGCTGGGGACGCTGGCACAGAGCCACGGGGCTCCATCTGCTTTTAGAACGAGTGACGATGCGCCCGCCGCCCAGACCATGTGGCTGCCACTGGTGAGCGGTGAGAAAACATAACCCAGGCATTCTTAAAAACCATACCGCGGATAGTCTGTATAAACGGATGCTTGAAATTCATTTTTTCAGACATATCGGTTGGTGGGAAATTAATATTTTGTTAATTACACAACAGAATAATTGGTGATCTCGGCCACATAATTAAACCGCAGGCAATTTAAAAGTTTATAAAGGATTTTTATCAGTTTAACAAATGTAGCAGCCACGGATTATTACACCTCTCCTACGACAGCAGAGCCGGAGACTAAATCTACCCGACGACGCTCCACATTGATCCGTTCAGGATTTATCCCCGGCCTGCTTCCCGCAGGACGGAGATACGCTCTATAGAACAAACACTTACACGTATTAAAGGTGGAACTACGTCAAAAGGAAAACAGTCTGTAGAACCAACAGCAACACAAAAAACAACCCGAGGATGGCTTCTGACACGCAGAACCCCCGCCGGGCTTCCCGGTCGGGCTTCCGCAGTCACAGGCTCCTGGCCGGCTCGCTCGCTCGCTCTCTCTCTCTAGCGTCCGTTCTGGCCTCCCACATATCGGTCGTTAGTTCTGAGACACTCGGATCCCTGTCACCGAATCGGCGTCCCCGGCTCGGCCACTGTGCAGGCGGTCGCCAGGGCGAGCCCCGGCTGAGTGGGGGACGTGGGGGACGGCCCAGGCCAGTGATTCAAAGTCTCAGACGTTTTACTTGGGACCGGGCGGAGCGCGCCTGGCTCCTAATTCCCCGGAGGCCGGCACCGCTGCGGGAGCAGATGTGCAGATACGGCCGCGGCTATTCCGGGAAGCGGCGCTCACCTGAGCGGGGCGCTGCCACTCAGCCCCCCCACCCCACCCCAGCCCCGATCGCTTCGTCTCCAGGCGCCATGGCCCACCAGCTGGCGCGGACGACCGTCTCCAAGGAT